AGTAACTTAATTTGCAGAACGTAGTATAAATTCAAGAGGTAGATATTTTATCTGTACCTCATTGTAACCTGCGCCTCAACTCAAAGTGGTAGAAGGCTAAGGTTACACAACGAGGAGGTTAATTTTGATTATTGTATGCCCGGTTTTCAGTAGAGAGTGGCTGGGTAAAGTTAAATGAAATAAAACTCTAGAATAAAATGTGGTTTAATACAACCCAAGTCGCTGCTGATTATATATTTGACGTTAATTGAATAATATGCAAAAAAAAGTGTTCACAAAAGTCAAAGTTATACCAAAAGTATACTTTTGGTTTACAAGTATTTATATTTTAATGATATTTCTTTATTATTAAGCAGGTGGTGGCACCAGATAAGCTCTGCTAGAATAACGCTGAATATTTATACACCTAAGGTTCAACCCAGGACACAAGCTTCATGCGCTGGTAGCAAGTTGACGAAGCAATTGGGTGCAGGTAGACGGTCTCAAAAGTAAAATATGGTTAATTCTTACTTGCTATACCGATGATGGTTGTCCAGAGTGGGGCTTCTCAGTGACCGATGGGCCAGTGGGTACTTCTGTTGGGGCCTACCTCAGGTGTATAACATGCACCGCAAGCATGGAAATCCAGGCTAAGTTGTCCAAATCAATAGTAGAATGTAGATGAATAGTAGATGAAATTTTAAAGGGGGAAGTTAAAGATGAAGTTGAAGCACAGTAGAAGTGAAGTAGATGCAAAGTAAATGAAAAGTAAATGGCCTGAAATAGGAAAAGGTTATGAGAGGCAATGGTCATCATGCAGAGTTAGTTACACTTACCGTTGATGAAAGGTGGCCAAAAAGTGAGCATATAAATGGTGTGTTATGAAAAATATCCGCTATAAGCGCCTTTTTTTAATCACTAAGAATGTTTCCTAATGCACAATTTTGTTTCTAGGCAAAATCCGAAATAATTTCGTGAGAACACTTCTCAAGTGTTCTTGAAGAGCTCTATTAACAAAATGGGTGAAAATGGCTTAATCAAAGTTCAAAACTTGGTACCTCAAAGATTGGTCTCTTACTATGAGACATGTAAAACTCTGCTGATGACTCAAGGATTGAATAATTCACTTTCTAGGTGGAGGTAGAATTGGGACCAAAGTTTAGTAGAAGAAGAACCAGTTGGAAAAGGTAAACAAAACAAAATGGGGTAGATAAATGTCAGAAAAATATATTGTAATCATTATAAAAGCTAGTATTGTGCTCATAATCAAAAAAGGGGTAAGGACAAGGAAGTTTTTAGTATTTGCTAGCTGATTTTTAATAGTAAGATTCATTTTTAATACTGAACAAATAGTTGGTCATGATTTCGTTGCAGGACTTTTATAAAAAAGCTAAGTGAGTACTTTGATTCAATATTTATTATTATGACAATTAAAAGTGACAACAAAATATGTTCAAACCCGAGAATACCGATCAAGGAGAAGCGACAGTAGCTGTCGGTGCCTTTGATATCGGATGGACCTTTTTGACAACATGACTTTGATTAATAGACAACTTAATACGCTGAGAAACATGCTTATTTTCTACACTGATCGAAATAGTTTGGCAAATTATCTGAAATCATTGTTATAATTCATGCGCAAATGTTGTAATGTGATTTAATTACATTGAAGTAGTTAGGGATAATAGCAATGGTGACATTTCGGCACCAAAATATAATTCATTATGTAATAATTAATTATTTGTTATAAAAGTAAAATTTGTTCAATATTTGGTTTATTTATTGTTAAAAATGTGATAAAAGTCCCAAATTTAAATTAAATTACCTTTTCCTTAAGTAAAAATAAGGTAAATAAAATTAGGGGTACCAAAAAAAATTAGGTAACAATTAAAAAGACATTAAGTTTGAAAGGTTTAACTAAATATGTGCAATGTGCATATATTTTCAAAGCTTTTAGGTTTAAAAAGTACTTACATATTTTTAGAATTTCTGGATTTATATTAAAAGAACTTTCAAGTTTATTACTAATTTCTGTAGAAACAAGTGTTTTCTCGCAAAGATAAGCCAGATGTCATTTAGAGTTTATGTATTTAGAGTTAAATACCTGGCCTGGCTATCACCCAGTCAATACAAATATGTCCATTGGACGCCCATTCGATATATAATTTTGGATGCCTAGACGTCCAAAAATGAGTTTTTCTGGACTTCCGACATCCAATGAACGTCCAGTGAAGTATAAGAATGGCACACTTTTGACCATTCAGAGGACGTCTAATTCTGGAATATATTTGGACGTTGAATACTTGACATTCAAAAAACGTCCAGGATTATATTTCCATTGAGACCACATCCCCACTTTTTTACAGAACCGCAACTCACCCCACATTTATAATATTAATAATTTGTTTATTATTTTCGCAAACTGCTATACACCATTTTTATTTTTTTTAATTAAAGATCGCTTGACCTGAGCAGGGATCGAACTCACGACACATCCATTATCGTTTTACGGTTTCAATCGCTAGACGAGCTCGACCAAGGAACCACTTGAAAACTTTTTACTTTACTTTTTACTATAGTTATAATGGAATAAGATTTCAAACTTCCGCTGATAGAATGAAATGCAATAGATTCAATTTGTCAATTTTTAATGACCAATTATATTAAAAAAAAGGAAGTGTATATAGATGGGAATTATCTGGTAGGCCTAATAAATAATGACCTAAGATGGACGTCCGCTGGACGTCAAAATACTACTAAACTTAAAATTGAGTCCAAAAACAGGAGTGCGTTTAGAAACCTCGCACGGCGCGTCGACCCTATTCTAATGTATGTGGTGAAACGCGCCGTGCGAGGTTTCTAAACGCACTCCAGGCGTTTTCTGGGTATCAATATTCAGCTGTCAAATAATTAGCATAAACGGACGTACACTGGATGCCCAGATATGGACGTCTTAATCCTCAAATGGATCTAAAATGTACGTCCATTGGACTATATGTGCTGTCTGGGCATAGACGAATTTTTAGAAATAGTACTTATTTAAGTATGTACCAATATTTCCAAAATCAACTCCAGTATGATTGATTCAATAAATATAAATATGAATGGGCAAAACATCTTTATATTGACATAATGGTAACTTACAATTTAGCCATAATAAAGGGATTTCGCCCACTTTGACCAATCCTAATTGAAACACGCGGATTTATTATATTTTTAAATATAATTTCAAAATAAAATAAACAAAATCTGCAGTTAATTGTTTGTTAAATTTATTTAAAAGAAGACAAACATATATTTCAGAAAATTCAATACCAACATATGAAAAATAAAATGTCAAAAGTGATTAAATCATCATACTTAATATTTATACATGTGATAAAATTCTTAGTTTCCTAATAACTTTTTTGGCACATTTTATATCTTCATCTTATTACTACACAAAACAAACACCAATAATATCACCTAACATTGCTCACGTACTAAACACAACTTGGACTGACTTTGACAGATAACATCATTTTAAGTGATACACAACTTATTTTCGCACATGCGCGTTACAAAACGGTACACTGAAAACACCAAGCTGTTGCTTCTCCTTGATCGGTATTCTCAGGTTCAAACCCCGGGTCAAACATACTGAAAAAATGTTAAAATCTTTTACGTCAAAAAATGCCCCTTAATAATTAAAAAGTGTGTACAAAATTTCATAAATAAGTTTTTCTTAAAACTGTAACACCTTGTAGTTCAAAAATTAAGAGGTTTATGACATATGTTGTTATTAAATTTCCTTCTTAAAGTCACCCAAGGATTCACACCCTTAAGTATCGGCGCTCAATTAATACACAAATACTATCATAACAGTATAATAGATTACTTTCATTTATGAAAACAACAGGCTCTTGATACAGTAGAACCTAAACACGTTGTTTGTTGTCAGTTGTTGTTTTGTGTGCTTGAAACTTTAATTAGTTTCCTGTGTTATGTTTTGCTGGAAATATTATTTTATGTTGTTTAACAGTTTTAGTGTGTATACCGGGAAAAATGTATTCTATTGTTACATTTAAAAACAACCACCTAAAATTTAAAAAAGAAATTCGCAAATACTATCCAAAGGGCAATGATTTCGTGTCTTTCACTATTTGAAAGAAATTGATAAATTGTTGCCAAGAATACAGATAAATTTAATGGGAATACAAATACAATTTGTTCTGCGCATCTCTCGCAAACCTATTATGAAAGAGACTTTAAAAAATGATAACTGATTAATTTTGATACACAATAATGGTTGATACTACAAAAAGGGGGACAAATCAAAGTCTTTGTTCATTATCTCTTGCCCAAAAATAATAAAAAAAAAAATTCTAGGTTTTTTTTTACTTGAAATACTCTAAACTCGTCTCTATGTCCTGTCCCTGCTTTTTTTGATATTTTAAAGCATTTTAAAGTACTTTTTCACTCTGTAAACTCAAAGATAAATGTTAATTGAATTAATTACCTTTGTTTGAAAAAAGCTTGAATTATCTTTTTTACTAATCAAGAATAAAGTACTGTCCCTTAAATCCCATTAACTTCATGGACTCGTCAAAACTTATTATTATATTATTTTCTTACAAGTATTATTTGATGAGTGGTTTTTCTTTTAGTCAACCTCCTGTTCTAGCTATTATAATTAATATTTAATGAATACAATTTACTGTTCTTCATGTTGTATACCTTTTTGATCCAATCGAAGATAATCGTTAAATATCCCTTAGTTTGCAATTTTGTAGTATTTACATAAAAAAAAATCACCTCCATGGACATTTATTCCATGTACTTTATTGGACCATGGATTTTATTTACTGCATTTTGCTTTTTCTTTTATAAATACCCACTTCCAGTACGTATAAAGCAATGCATTTAAATGTGTGAATGGTTCTGCATTGACGTCACAAATCGACACACTTCACAAACAGAAACTAAGCTATCCTGTTTAACAGTGTATAATCCTTGATTCTTGCAAGCTTTGAAAATGACATAAAACGTAACAAGATATTGACAGTTAAACGCCATTTTGATATTTTCAAAACTTTTCTTTTCGGTATGCAAGATGGTGTCAATTTCCAAAATTCCAAAAATGTATCCATACGTCTCAAGATCCGAATCTAGCCCAAAACCTATTAGCTCAAATTCTAAAATTTCAACAGCAAAAAAAAGAATACCTCCACATCTGCTGCGGGAACACAATGATCTGTTGTTATTTCTGCAAGTAGCTCAAAGAGAGAGGCTGATCATGCAACAGAAATACGATCAATTACTGGAGAAATACGAAGATCTATTAAAGGTAAACGAAGAATTGACCTCAAATTTAAAAGACTATCAGCAGAAGTTGGAAGTTTCTAACGATAATTTTGCTGTAAACAGGAAACAATCTCAAATAAAATATAAAAATCTTGAAAGAGAACTTATCGAAGCTAAACATGAAAACGATAACCTAAAAACAGTAATCGATAATAATAGAAACAGAAATATAGAAACCGTAGACAAAGAATTAAAACTCTTACAAGACAGCTACACTAAATTAGAAGAAAAGAACGCAGAGCTAGCAGAAAAATGGGATAAATACAAAACTAAATTAAAATATTCAATATCTGTAGTTAACGAACTTAATAACTTAATATTAGAAGTCACTAAAAGACCAAAAACCTTCAACACCCAAACCCAAACGTATATAACAGAATTTCAAAAATCCACAACAACTACATCATCCAGTAGCAGCAGCAGTAATAGCAGTATCAACAGGAACTTACGCAATATTAACAGTATCGATAATATCATTTCTGGTAGTACATTGAGATGTGGTATTCCCAATGGTAAATTACAAAGTGATGATCTGCTCTTATCGGACATATTATTCAAACCGCAAACATTTGAAGACGATTTGGTATTGGTCAAGAAAGATTCATGGGCAGGGATATTAGAAAATGTGTAAATAAATGTATTAATGAACAAATTAATTAAAAAATGTCTACCAATAGGTAGTAATCATTTGACGAAATGTTAAATCCGTCACATATCGTTGCATTTTATTGCTTTTTGAAAAATAACATAAGGAATAACAGTCTAAGACACGGGCAATGCACTACAAGTTGAGCCATGCAGGTTAACTCGGATGTTAGACGTAAAATGATTTTCGTAAATCAAAAGAGATGTTTATTGTGGGTATTTAAACAAATTTAAGTGTTTGACTAAAAAAATTAATGAAATACGTAGGTATTATCTATTTGAGTGTCGTATTTTTTAAACATATTTTTTGAGGGATTAACTGGGGTTGAAATCATAAATGAAAACAAGAAAAATCAAGCTCTATAAAAGAACGAAGCCTATGAATAAAAATGGGGGTTAGATCTTGTCGATTTTTCCTGCCCAGACTTGAAGACACACCTACGAACCACGAGACCACGAGTATAAATAAAACTGCAGGAGGCGTCGTAATCCAAATAGTTAATATTTTCTTCGGCTACGTGAAGGTCAAAAACCAAGACGCAAAGTTATAGTTATAAATATTCGACGGAGTGCTTTATATTTTGTGTTAATTGTGTTGTAATTAGATTTTATGAAATGGTAAGTACCTACAAATATAATACCTATGTATTTGACTTGATTTATGCCCGATTCGCCTGTTCCCATTTCGCCTGACCAATTAAAATTTCCCGATTCGCCTCACAAGCTCAAATTGTGGTATCGTTTCGCCTGAGACCATAAGTTGGATGGTGCGTGCTTTTTTTATCATAAGGGCCATTTTCAAAATACATGCAAAATTTGATTTATAAGGATGATTTGATTTGAAACAAAAAACAACCTTATTTATTGACATTATTAAGCGTTTTAGACAGTGTTTTTATATCAATTATTTTCAAATTTTCTAAACCATCTTGATAATTTTTCCTTTAAATCTTTTTTCATAGATATACTAAGTTCTTTTCTAAAGTCATGTATAGTTGAAATTATTACTGGAGAAATTTTGGTTTTTAAATATATTTTTTTTTGTCCTGGCCGGTTATTGGGACACAAAAAATTTCTAAATTCAAATAATTTATTCGCTTTACGCTTCGTCAATTTGAAAAAATAAGGGGAGGTCTGTTAAACTGTAAAGAATATAATATAGAATGCCAAGCATTATATAATATCTCACATTTTTCATTTAGTAAATACATACTATAAAAAATATAAAAATTATATGAAACTAATTCGGCAAATTAAAAATAAAATAGTCATTTGTGTACCAATACCGTATAGATGATTTTTTTTTGGCCGATTAAGAAATCTGCGGTCGAGGCGTAGCCGAGGCCAAGCAACTTTAGGTAGGGCTAGTTACTTCATACGAAAGAATATGAGGTATTTGAGCATTTGTATCAATTAAAACCGCAATTTTATGTCTATAAAATAAATTTCAAACAAAAAATGACGACGTGATAAATTATTTTCCACATCCTTATCTATTAAAAAATATTAGAGAAAAATTTAATATTTTACCGAATTAATAGTATCGCTCCTGGTTTTAAATTTGGCCGACAGTCTGTCAAATAAATTCATCTCATCGGGATCCAGAATTGAATCATTACTAGGATATTCAGAGACATCGCTGTTAGTTAATAGATCATCGAAAACCCTAAAAATTATTGTTTTTGTAAGAACTTGTTGTATGTTATACAGGGTAATTGTATAATTTGTAAAATATAGTTCTGAAGTTGCCATTTATCTATAAAATTAACCATTTGCGACACTTTTTTGTTTTGAAGGGTAATTAGCGACACTTTTAATTACATAATAATCAAACAGATCTATTTTGCGACTCCCATAAGCATTTTTGTTTTAAAATTCAATAAATTATCCTGGAAAATCATAATGCGACACCTATTCTTTATCCTGAGACTCGAAAATAAATATTTCTGAAGATTTATATAGCAAAAATTCAGTAAATAGCGCCACTTTGCAATATTTTAAACTAACTTGATGGTGAAACACATTGCGACAATAAATAATCCTGAAAAATCAATTTTCCGACACTTTCAGCCCTTTTGTTCTGAAAAACATGGTGATAAATATTTATGAAGAATTTTGCAATAAATAATAATCAAATCCATTTTGCGACACTGAACTAGGAACTAACCCATTTGATGATAATTTTTTTCTGAAGAATCATAAAAAAGACACCACGAAGAAACGTTTGTGACAGTTTTAAACATTTTCATTCTAAAATAACTCACTTGGCGATAAATAACCCCGAAAAACCACATAGCGTCACTTCTAAAATATATCATTTGAAGAAAAATGTTTCGGAAATATCACACAATCTAAGTAACCTTTTTTTCCTGAAATAACTTACTTGACGATAATGGCACTGAAAAAACGCATTGATACAATTTTAAATAATAAAAAATCATTTTGCGACACTAAATTCCACAATGAGTTTAATGAGAGCAAAGTTCTGTGAAGTTTAGTCGACATTTCATGTTTTACACCTAGATAATTACAAATAATCTTAAAGAACCATAAAGAAATCATTGTGCGACACATTTTTTTCGGTACTTTTTAACAAATACACCACATTGCGACACTTTTAAATGAATTGTATTCCTAAAGATCCACATTTTAATATTGTAAACATTTTAATTTTAAAATAGCTTTCCTCAGAATAATATTCCAAAACTCTTTTTGTGAAGCTTTAAAATTTTGCGACACTTTTAATTAATTTTATAACTGCCCTTTTTGCTATACGTTAACACCTTTTTTGCTTTGAAGCAGTTTAAGGATAAATTAAAGTCCCTACTAATCACACAGCGTCACTTTTAATTAAATAATCCAGAATGAGTTTGGGACCTTTATGAGCGTTTTTGTTCTAAAATTTAATAGATTATGATGGAAATTCACATTGCGCTTTCATTCGTTTTTCTCAAACTCAAAAATAATTATTTTAGACGATTTATATTACAACAATTCAATAAATATAAATACTGAAGCACCATTGCGATATATTAAAACTAAATTGATGATGAAACACATTGCGACACTGTTCGGCCTTTTTGTTTTGAAATAACTTAATTTTGCGATAATATAAGCCTATTTGCTCTGAAAAACATGATATTAAATAATTTGGAAGAATCATTTTGGAAAGTTGTTAAATGACCAATAATCAAAACCATTTTGCGACACTAAACTAGTAACTAATAATTTTCCGAAGAATCATAAAAAAAGACACATTAAAGAAACTTTTGTGACAATTTTAAACATTTTCATTCGTAAATAGTTCACTTGGCAATAAATATTTCTCAACACGTAGCGACACTTTTAAAATTCTTATTTTAAAATATTTCACTTGAAAGGAATTTCGAATGTGTACAAAATCTAAGTAATCATTTTGCGACACTATTTACCCTTTTTGTCCTGAAATAGTTCATTTGACAATAAATGGTCCGGGCCATTTTAAAAAATAAGAAAAATCATTTTGCGATACTTAATTCCTCATGAGGCCAAAGTTCTGTGGAATTTAGCACAGTTTTACAGATACATAATCACAAATAATCTTAAAAAGATCACTTTGCGACACTTTTTACTAGACTTTTAAACAAATAATACAAATAAACTTTATTTCTGGAGATTCATAAATAATTCTCAAGAAACATACTGCGACACTTTCAAAAATTCTTATTCTAAATTATTTCACCTAAGTAACCATTTTGCGACACTGTTTGGCTGAAAATAGCCCATTTGACAGTAAATCGTTCTGAAGACACACATTGGGACTGTCTAAAATAAATAATCAAGAAAAATCATTTTGCGACACTAAATTTGTCATGAGGCCAAAGTTATGTGTAGTTTAGCCCACTATTCCAGTTTTACACATACATATTTACTAATAACCTTTAAAATATTACTTTGCGACACTTTTTACAGTACTTTTAAACAGATAATGTAACTAAACAACACATTGCGACACTTTTAAACAAATGTTCTTAAAACTAACTTTGCGACACCAAATTCCTCATAGGGTCCAAGGTTTAGGCAGTCATCCCAATTTTACAGATACACAATTACAGACAATCTTGAAGAGTTCACTTTGCGACACTTTTTACGGTACTACGCTTTTAAACAAATAATATTACTAAAGCAACACATCGCAACACTTTTAAATAAACTGTACTCCTGAAGATACACATTTCAATACTGTACACATACCATTTAAAATAAATATTTATAAAAAAAATCATTTTGCGACACTAAATTTGTTATATGGTCGAAGTTCTGTTGAGTTTTACAGATACAAAATTGCAGACAATCTTGAAAAGATTACTTTGCGACACTTTCTACGATACTTTCAAACATAATACTAAAGCAATGTATTGCGACACTTTTAAATAAACTGTGTTCCTGAATATCCACATTTCAACACTATGAACATACTATTTTAAATATATACTCATAAAAATAACTTTGCGACACTAAATTCCTCATAGGGTCCAAGTTCTGCAAGGTTTAGCCAGTTATTCCATGTTTACAGATACACAATTACAAACAATCTTAAAGATATTACTTTGCGGCACTTTTAAATAAACTGTATTCCTGAAGAAACACATTTTAACACTGTAAACACACCATTTTAAATAAATTTTCTCAAAAAACATTTTGCGACACTAAATTCCTCATAGAGTCGAAGTTTTATGGAATTATGCCAATCATCCCAGTTTTACAGACACATAATTACAGACAATCAGGTAGACATTACTTTGCGACACATTTTACGATACTTTTAAACAACTAATATTACTAAAGACACACATTGCGACACTTTTAAATAAACTATTCCTGAAGAAACACATTTTAACACTGTAAACATACCATTTTATATAAATATTTTTAAAAAACATTTTGTAACATTAAATTCCTCATAGAGTCGAAGTTTTGTGGAATCAAGCCAATCATCCCAGTTTTATAGATACTTAATTACAGACAATCTCGTAGAGATTACTTTGCGA